CTCCCCCCGCTCGGTCGCTTGGCTCCCTCGCCTGGTCGCTTCGCGCCCGAGCAGGGGCGTGTACAGGATTTGTACCAGGGGGGTGTAACCGTAACCCAAAATTGCGAGCACGCGAAGGGGGAAGTTTGGGGGGCCCTCCCCCAGAACATTTTTAAAATTACTCCCCCTCAGATGCGTTTTCTGCGCGAGCAAGGGAGATCCGGACTCCCTGGACCCCCCCCCCTTTACACGCCCCTGCTCGGGCGCGAAGCGACCAGGCGAGGGAGCCAAGCGACCGAGCGGGGGGATGGTGTGGGAGGACTGGGAGGGGGGTGTTCACTGTTCACCCTCCAATGATTTCGTAACGAAATCAGTCATGCGACACTTAATTGGCGCTCCATACTCTACCAGCACGGCCATTCAGCGGTATTGGAATTATATATTATGGATGTGCCATGCATGGTGCCATGCATACATGCATACATGCATCGGTGCGGTGGCTTCTGGGATAGCCTGCTGTCACGTGAGGGGTATGATATAACCAGAGCATAACCCTAACGTCGCTAACCGAATCTTGAATCTTGAATCTTGAACATACATTGCGCGCTACGACAACAACCGCCATTGTTTTATAACATACTTTTAATATTTTACTTGCCTTGAGATATTGTGCGTATGCCACCTGTGTGATAAACTAACAGCGTGGCAAGTTTTGGGGTCCGAAACCAATAAATGGCGGAATGCATAGTTAAAGTTAGTTTTTTAGTAGTACAGATAGATTCGTTTCTGAAATGTCATCATATCGACGCTAGATGGCAGCAGGCAACGGCAACACCAAAATGATCAAAATCGTCTATTTTAGATAAATTTTCGCTATCGTCTTCGAAAAACAACCCAATATCAACGTTTCTTCAGGTAATTTACTGCGGATACCAAGTAGTATGAGTGCGGAAACGACGCGCACAAAGAGCAACATAGATTGTAGGATCGTAGCAGAGTCAATATAACTGATATGACGTGAAATACGCGAGCGTCGCAATTTTAATGCGAAGGGTTGCAACTTGTAAGTTGTAACTTGTAGCCACGCTTGGTCAAATGCTCTCTATCCTTGAACCAGTGTTTAGCTCCTGTACTGTAGCCCGAACCACTGGCAGCAAGATCAAGCCCGCACGTACAGCACACACGCGGCGCCATATATAGTCAATGGCGCCGCGTGTGTGCTGTACGTGCGGGCTTGATCTTGCTGCCAGTGGCCCGAACAGGCTGTACTGTGTGACTAACGTCAATATACACATTGATGTTTGCTCTAGTAGTATAGCCCGCGTACAGTTGCCGCAGGACTATAGGACTATGGGACTTATATTTATATAACTGTATGGTTGATCCCTAGATACAATAATGTAACCCAAACCCAAGAGGATACCCTATCCTCTTGGGTTTGGGTTACATTATTGTATCTAGGTTGGTCCCTAGCATTCGTAATAGAATGGGCCCAAGGATAGAGAACATGGGTCCCAATAAAACCAATGTGCTTGGCTAATACCCTGACCGTAACCCTAACCCTAATCCTAACCCTAACCATAACCATAACCCTAACCAAAAATATAATCAATATAATCAATAATATTGATGTAAACGACATTGGTTTTATTGGGACTCATGTTCTCTATCCTTGAACCAATATAAGGTATTAAGGGGTCTAAACTCTAATAGTAATACTCTAATACAGATTCCCAATGCGCATATCGTTCGGCTAACTTCGACTCCAAGATCGAATGTATCATGGGATGCCTGCTTTCAGTCATGACGTCATGACGAAGTTAGCCGAACGCTATGCGCATTGTAGACCGAATAATTCTGTCACATATAACCTTTTTTTATATTTTTGGTAAGGGGTTATAGTGGGACAGAAGAGGGTTCATCGAAATTTCGTGAGATCGCATGCAAATGCGCATTAGCGCTGCTAATGCGGCCCGTACGCCCGCTATTCGCGGCGGAAAAAGAATCTATGTCCCTTCTACAGGATTGCTTTAGCTTGCTACTGATCATGTGCATACATTTCATTCACTCGTTATTTACTTCTTAAAAGATTGCTTTTTCAGAAACCCCGCTTTGTCTTAAATTTGTAAGATTACGTTGGCCAGTTACAAACAATTCGAACCATGTACGAGCGAGGCTAGCAGGCCTCGAACTGCAGCGCCACAGATACAAGCCAGGAACCATGGCGCCTATTGTAAAGGACTGTGCTGTGATTGGTCTGTTGTTTTGTAATGGCAACGTATTTAGAAAGTTAATTGAGCGGGGTTTTTCTTTTAAGAATGTAATACGATTTGAAGTGATGTGGGTATACACATATCTGTAGCAGGATAAGCACTGTTTAGATGCGAACGGTAGGTTTTTTTTTCGCGCAATAGCGGCGTAGGGCAGACATTAGCAGCGCATGCATATTGCATTGCGATCTCACTGAATATTTCATGAACCCCGTTCGTGTGCCCATATTAACTCCTTACAAATAGAAAAATGTTATATTGGGACAGAATTTATGCGCGTCTATGCGCTTGTGGAATCTGCTACGTCACAGTTGTCAACAAGAATAGCGCTCGAATATCATCGCTCGTCACTTCAAAATTTGTAACCGGTTATTAATAGTTTCATACAGAGTATTGTGTAATCATAGTTCAGCTTCCAGGATAGCCGGTCACTGGAGAAAAAGGTTCGTGTTAGAATAACCAGAGTTTTGGAAGTTCATAGGGGCTCTGAAAACGCACAGCAAACCGCCCTGAGTGCATTCACTCAGGGGTTCCTTCAAGAAAGAATAGGCTCGCGTTGCGCTAACCCTATCTGTGTTTGGGTTACATTATTGTATCTACAGCGCGCCTAGCTCTGTATATTAGCCGCGTACAGTTGCCCGCAGGCCTGTGGCTCAATCTGGTACGCGGGCTTCAGTACTAGAGCTACAGCGGGCCGCCAACATGCAGCGTTTAAACGATTCGCAGGTCGAATGTTCGGTTCACAGAAATTATCCGCAAGCCCGACCATCTTCAACGACTAGTCAGGGATGGAAGTTCTCGCGGATCGCGCGAAATTCTGCGCGATTTCACAGTCCCAGGCAGTCGCATTTGTGAAACGTCTGATATCCGCTTGAGAAAATTTTAGGGGGTTAGTGTTCTGTCTACGGTGGACAAAAAGACAAGACGTCTGGCTAGCTGGAGCCACGTACAACTGTGTGTGCGTTTATTATAGCAAACACAACTGCGCTGACAACGTGCCTACATTCAGTAACAATAGAAACATCTCCCGTTTTCAAAAGAATATTCACAAAGTAAGCCATTCAGTATACACGTATAATTCGCCACTCGCTATCTTAAACATAACGATAGATATGAATTGACAAAACTTAACCATGTTACGTCATAAGCTCTATAAACTATTTAATTAGCATGGTATCCTGCTGGGTTTTACACCCTACATAAGCGTGCTCGTATAAGCTGAATCGAGCCTTGTGTGTGTAGATCTAGTCTCAGGGTTCTCCAGAGAAGATTCAAACGTCAGGTCGGGAGGAGGGGAAGGGAGAGGGGCGGACAGTAGGGGGGCTCAGTCCGGGCCGTGTATGTTTTACTACCACTAATTTATGCGTTAAATCGTCACCACCCGGTTAGACGGTCTTTGCGCAGGTTCTTGTATATATATAAGTAGCCGAGTGCTTTGTGGGTGTGAGAAGCACGGTGGACTGTTCTGTACTTGTGTATGTCTCCGGTGCGATATCGTTGGGCACGGGTTAAAATACGACGCGCAGTGGTGTCCTGCGTCGATAGCGACACATTCCTTGGCACATCGATTCCTCGCTGTCAGCAAACTTTTAATATGTGGGTGGAGTTGAATTGGGGCGTAGTAATTTAAACGCGGGCCGCACAAACGATTTGCACAGGGGCGAGTTTCCCATCGGGCGCGCGCCCCGGTTTGCCGCACGTTGAATCGGAGAACCCTGCTCCTGAGTTCTCACTGGACACCGATTTCTATAACTTCAGGCATGCTTTGGCTGCGATTTGTGTAGGCGGGTCGGATGTTGATACGGCGTTGCTATTGACGTAGGCAGCTTCTCTCGAACACTAACGCTAGTCTGGCATAGCGGACATCCCATGCTGCCCTTCATAGCAGGATACATAGCGACAAATGCAGTCGGCTGTCACAGCACTACTCTGCATAGGTCCGCCGGTATACAGCCCCATCTGCGTGTCCACAACATATGAATGCCCTAATCATGCTTCCCCGGGATCCATGGCAGGGATCCCCTCATACCAGTCTGTTCTCTAACACCATCAGCCAACTCGTAAGACAGACGGATTGTGCGACTGGTCCATAGGTTGTTACTTATGCTGGCCAATATCCATGTATCGCTGCATACTATGAGCATGCGATCAGGGTGCTGGCGGCTTCAGTAACTGACGTGAAGTAGGGACAACGACCTGAATGTCGTTCCCATCACAACTCGTGATGCGTGCATAATAACCAGCTCAATGGGTAGTAAGGTACTCTTTAGATACACAGATGCATAGCTCGTACCATCAGCTTTAGCCTTGTGAGTTTATTCTCTTTACTGTCTGAACAGATGCATCAGCCTGAGGCATTAGACTTAGGATAATGGGGCTAGACGTTGGGTGCACAAACCATACTGCGCTCCGCAAAGCGTGAATTCCTGCGAGCGGCATATGCCGGACGTTACCGACCACGACATTCTCCGGATTCCAAATCTGCAGAAAAATGCAGTTTTAGAGCGCGGTGATGAGCATAACTACTAGTTCGTTCTGTCAACTTTCGTCGACCTCAAAGAAGCCGACTGTAGTTAAATCCACAAGCAACTAAATTATCACTCCTTCCAGTGTGAATAATCACTGGAACACCTGTCATGCCGGGTACTCAGAAGCCTTGTGACACGTTGCAGGGGATTCCTTACATTAGAGTTGCTCACGCTTAGACACACTTTCACAATCCAGTACCAATATCTGTGATTATCCGGCCGTTATGCTTGGCCAGAACGCCAGATATCTCTGTAGCTCGAGAGAGCTTTCTCTACTCCCATGTGTAGCTACATGTATATCTCTAGAAACGTGTACGCAGCTTCACTGGCAATATAATATCTTATGACCTTTCATGAGAATGCATCAAGACATGGTCAGCTATCGCCGAAGTATTCCAAACTCGAGACAGACGGGGAACATCTTTCCTTTTAAACAGGCCATCTGTCATAATACACTGCACTAACGACTCACACTGCGCGAATCTGCGCAGTATGCAGCTTTCTAATTCCTGCATTCTTACATCCTGATGGGCAGATATGACAGAAACGGTGGTGCACATGTACACTCTAGCTTATCCGAAACTCTGGGTATTTATTCGACGACAAAATTGGCGCTGACAACGTGTCAGCACAGGAATCTCTTTGATGCAATTCGGACTATGTAGACAGTATCTTTGAGGCGGTGCAATAAATTGCCAAAGCACAGGACTGTGTGAGGAGCTCTTCACTTTCTGGAAATGCACGTGCTGGGCATCTCCCATGAGAAAAGCTGCACTCCTTCGGCCATTCAATTAGCCTTAGGTTTGTCTATATTCAGGCCGATACAGGAGATAATTTTGGATATTTGCTATCGTGGTTTGTTATAACAAGTCAAGTTGTAATGCGGTAGTTACGTGAACGCTCACTTGCCAGATGTTGAAGAGATGAGTGAAGCGAGGATGGGGAAGGAAGAGGGGAAGGTGCGTGAGCAGAAGGCGAGGAGGCGGAGACGCTGGTGGCGAGAAGAGGGAAGGGCAGAGAAGCGGAGAGGTGGTGGAAAAACAGGAGGGGAGAAGACTGCGTGGCAGAGGACGGAGGGGAAGCGAGAGGTGAGTGGAAGGAGGGGGAGAAGTAGTGG